AGAACAAATCAGTGTATAAATCAAAAAGGGTGCTGTCAAAATGGCCTTAAGTGGCTGAGCATCAAAAATAGAAACTGTTTTCCCATTCTGCTTCTATATTCCATGTAGAATTTACTTGGATAGAGTTGGAAATTAAGTAGCATAATCTAATTTTAAAGGAGCTTAACACAAATTAAATGAACATTACTTTGAGCATAAATTCATGAATAAAATTGCGTGTTGGTTTTGTTGGAAAATGATGGTGTGCCAGTTCTTGAAGCAGAGCCAAGAAGAGGACTTGTATTCTCTGTCCCATGCTGGTCAAAATGGCAGCTCCATGATGATCAGGAAGTGCTGCTGGGCACTTTGCCTGGGCAAATTATACTTTGCACTGTTGTGAGTGAATGCACTTGACCTTCAGCCACAATTCCATCATCCCTGCTTGGCCAGTGAGGAATCATTGTCAGAGAAGTTAAGTGATTTGCTCCAGTATCATAGCTAGTTAGTAACAGCTAGGATTTAATCCCCAATTTTTTGGAAGCCGAAGTCCCTATTTTTCCACTCTGCTAAATTGCTTGCCACCCTATAATTTAGAAGATAAGGTAATAATGAAGCATGAAAGAATGTTAACCAGTAAGTTGGTGGTCACTGTGTTTTTACTATACTGGGGTTTGAACTCAGGACCCTGAGCTTGCTAGGCAGCTCAGGTAGTCACTACTTTGATACTGGTATTATGAAATACTTTTGTCCCCAACTGCAGTTACATTGAGGGTGGTTGTCCTGGGTGCCATTGTTAAAGAAAGTACTCTGCAAATTCATAAAATTGCAGAAATCTGTCATTTTTTTTTCTTCAAATACCCCTCACCAATCTTGTTGTTTCTGCCACTATAGCCCAAAGTGATCAATTCACATGTAGTCTTCTTGTTGGGTCTGGAGACCACAGGCAGATGGGTGGGTATCCCATCCTTCTCTTTGGGGATAACTAACATTCCTGCATCCTGAGGAGTTAGAAGCCTGCATTCCTGCACCCTGAGAGAGAGTTGTAAACTGCATTTCTGCATCCTAAAGAAAAGATACAGGGTCTGATAGATCTGCCACAGAACTGATGAGCAAAATGCTCTCAAGATTGTTTCCCCTCCCTCGATAAAGGTACAAACCAAACCAGTTCACCTGAGAAAGCCTGCTAATCCACTGCCAAAGAAAAAACCCACCTAACTCAGAGCTGGGACGTCCATAAAAACCCCAGCCTTCACCTGGGCAGCGAGCTACCAGTTTCCAGGCTCCACTGCAGTGCTCTAGCTGTAGCCTCTCCTTTCTCTAATAAATCCTACTTTATATACCGGCTTTGGCTCATCATTCAGCTGCCAGTTCCCTGGCCTGTGAAGGTGAGGACCCTCGACACCAGCACGTAACATTCTATGATAGTAAGGACTAATCTTGTCTTTCAGTGGGCAGATCAGATCAGTCTCCCAATAAACCCTGTGGGAGGTTTTGTTTTTAAGGAAAAATAATTCATGCCGGGAACTGGTGGTTTATGCCTGTAATCCTAGCTACAGAGGAGGCAGAGATCAGGAGATTCAAGGTTCGAAGCCAGCCTGGGCAAATAGTTCTTGAAACCCTATCTTAAAAAAACCCATCACAAAACAGGGCTGGTGCAGTAGCTCAAGGTGTAGGCCCTGAGTTCAAGCCCCAGTGCCACAGAAAGGAAGAAATAAAGAAAGAAAGAAAGAAAAGAAAAACAATTCATTATCACAGTTACAAAATTAGAAGTTGTGACCAGGTCCTGGTCTACCTGTTTGTCACTCAAAAGCCAATACTTGAAGAGTTGGTGAGAAGGAATTAAATTTTATTCAAGGGCAGGCATGCTGAGAAGATGGAGGAGCTGTTGTCTTCACAGCTCCATTTCAAGTAATTTAGGAACATGAAAGGGCTTTCATAGAGAGGGAAAGGAGAACCCATTCTGAGCAGCCCATCATCCAGGGCCTGTGTCTCCTTTTCATTTCTCCTCCTTCTGGGGCTAGTTCCTGTACTTCTATAGATAAGCATATTACCTTACAGCAATTTACATGAGATGTGTCACATTCTTATGTAATCTGAAGGTCTCCAGAAGTTCTGGGTTCTGTAAAGTGAGATTATTTAGTAGTTAACATCTTAATCATTAGGTGTGGCTTCTCTTTAGAATGCTGGTAGTGGAAATAACTTTGCAAAGGACAACCTACAGGAGTGGCCAGTGTCTTATCCTACACATTGGGGATTTTTACTTCCATACTATATTCCCACATGGAGAAATCCACACTTTCCCCTTTTTAATTTCTGTACACTGACTTCCTCTTGTGCCTATGGCTGGTGGTCACCATCCTGGACAGCACAGGCCAGACCATTTGGCTTCAAGCACCTTAACTTGCCTCTCTACCCCTCTTTGCCCAAATTCCTCTAGTCTTAAAAAAGAAGCATGCCCCCTAGGCCCAGTTTACAGAGATGAGGGTAAGCAACAGCACCACAAGGCTAGGAGAGTTACAGAATTATAGTGTACAAATGATTGTTGGGTCCACTTGACTCCTGGGATCTGGTGTACAAGCCTGGGTCTTTGTTTCTCAGACCAGCCTTAGGCTTGAGTAAAGCCTTTGATAATTCTTAGGTGGGCGGGGGAGTCATGATAGCCCATGATCTTGGTGGGCTATTTTGATTTTAACAGACTTATCACCTGTGAGCTGGAAAGTTTAATTACCATGTTTTGATCTCTTCCTCCACTTCAGGTTCCCTTTGCATATCCCCATCACTCGTGGCTAACTGCTACCTGTCAACATTCTCTTCCTATCCAGATTTTGATCTCCTTCCCCCTTGTGATCTCACTGAATGATCTGCCTGACCCTACTCTACTGAGATTCCTAGCACTTTCCCTCTGAGCATCCTGCTCACTCCAGCCACTCCTGTCTAATGTTAGAAGAGCCTGCTAACAGGGTTTCCCAATCTCCCCAGTGGGTTGTTCTACTGTTAACCTCAAAGCCCTGGCCTGGCCCTTGGCACTCACTATGGCCTGTGCCTGACTAAGCTCATTTCTCTCTTCCCTGTCCTGACTGGGCCAGGAAAAATGCATACAGGTTCTGTAAGAGTTTTATTTCTTTAAAAGGTATCTGTGTGAAAGACAAGCTTAAGAAGAAAGCTATAAAATTCTTAGCAAAGACAGGTATAAGTTACTCTGGTGTTAGGAAAAAGCCTCTAGCCAATGTCACAGGTAGAACAAATAGGCTTGATAATCACTGACATCCTTTCTTCTGCTCATCCTGATTTCTTAACCTGAAAATAGCCTTATTTCTGATTTTACATGTCTGGTTCTTATCTGTAGTCCAGACCTTTAACTAAGGTACCCCAGATTGCCCCTGCTATTTTATGGCATATTGTATTTATGTAATACTTATTCAATATTTAGACCTCCCACCTCTAATCTGGGACTGGAAAGACAAAAATAAATACCTCATTTGATACCTGGTTGCTTTGTGCATGATACCTAACTCACCGCCCCCACTCCCATTTTTTTTTAACAGCAGTCTTCCCTGATAATCTTTCTCTGTATAATGTTTGATTATTATCAGTTGAATTAAAAGTATTTGCTTTTAGGGAGTGAGGGTGTAGTTCACAGGCCTTGCATGTGTGAGACCCTGAGTTCAACTTCAGCCCAGGGTCGGGGAGGGGGGGGGATGCTTTTAGTAACGTTTCTTGTTACAAGCCTAAATTAAAAGAATGGACTGGAAAATATTCCTGATACCTTTGTGATTACCCCCTCCCATCCCATCCCCCTCATACCTTAATGTTCAATGCTGCTCTGGTTTTGTTGCTGTTGGGAGGGGGTGGTTTTTGTTCTGTTTTATCTCTTAAAACCAATTGGTAAGAATTATCTAGGTTCAAGTGATTTGTTGGAAAAAAAAAAGAAAAGATGCCTTTTTGTGCTTCTGCCTGAAGAGTCATTTTTAGTTACCTATGAGAAAGCAGTAGTCCTAATTCCTATAAAATGAGCAAGCATGCCAGTGGTCACACCTATAATCCTAGCAACCTGGAAGACTGAAATTGAGAGGATCCTGGTTCAAGGCCAGCCTGGGCAAATAGTGAACAAGACCCCATCTCCAAAATAATCAGAGCGGAAGGCCTGGAGGTGTGGCTCAAGTGGCAGAGTGCCTGCTTTATAAGTGAGACACCCTGAATTCAAACCCCAGTCCCACCAAAAAAAAAAAAAAAAAAAAAAGAGCAAGAGAGCAAGTTACCTGAATCTGGCAGGTGAGAAGAAGCAGGAAAAGGTCAGAGGATCTAAGGAAAGAAATCTACTTTTAAGAAATGGTGCAAACTTTCTGGAAGCAAGTTTCTCCACTGTATTACAGGTCTTGAAGCAAATGCACATAATAACCCAGCCCCTGCCCTTTATGAAATAAAGGGGGTATTGCCTACACCTGTTGCAGGCATCCACCGATTTAGAAATGAAGTATTTGTCCTGACATGCCCCGTGAGAACTTTCCTTCACAAATGAAACTGGGCATTATAAGAATTACACAAGGACTGGTGGAGTGGCTCAAGTGGTAGAGCAACCTACCCAGCAAGTGTGAGGCCCTGAGTTCAAACCCCAGTACCACAAAAAATAAATAAATAAAAAAAATTAAAAATTCCTACAGTCCCCCCCAGTGGGAAATTTGTGCTTTTGGCTTTGATCAAAACTTTTTTGTGATGCCAGGGTTTTGAACTCAGGGCTGGCCTTATGCTTTCTATACAGGTTCTCTACCACTTGAGCCACTCCTAGCCCTTTTTTGTGTTGGTATTTTTGAGATAGGGTCTCACTTTTGTTGCCCAGGCCAGCCTCTAGCTGAGTCCTCTTGATCGCTGACTCGCAAGTAACTAGGATTACAGGTGTAAGTCACTGTTATCTGGCCAGGATAAAAACTTTTGAGCTGTGGTATGAATCCTTTAAATAAATGGATATTGCAACTTGTTTGAATGAATTAATTAGTTTTATTTGTGTTATTTCTCCCACTCAGAAATGAACACACCTGCATATGCTGGATGCCTGTGAGCTCTGCCATCCCTTTGTGATATTGGAAAAACACACAGTGGTGGCCTCTGAGAACTGGTTCCTTCTGTCCTCTTGGCCCTGCTGCTCCTGCTTACGGACCAGGATGGAGACGCTGTCCCAGGATTCTTTGCTGGAATGTCAGATCTGTTTCAATTACTACAGCCCTCGGAGGAGGCCCAAGCTGCTGGATTGCAAGCACACCTGCTGCTCCGTGTGCCTCCAGCAGTTGAGGACCAGCCAGAAGGACGTGAGGTGCCCCTGGTGCCGTGGCATCACCAAGCTGCCCCCGGGCCTCTCCGTGTCGCAATTGCCTGATGACCCTGAAGTCCTAGCTGTCATCGCCATCCCGCATACTTCTGAGCACACCCCAGTCTTCATCAAACTTCCGAGCAATGGGTGCTACATGCTGCCCCTGCCCATCTCCAAGGAGCGCACACTGCTGCCAGGTGACATGGGCTGTCGCCTGCTGCCTGGAAGCCAGCAGAAGTCTGTCACCGTGGTGACCGTCCCTGCAGAACAACAGCCCCTGCAAGGCGGGGCCCCCCAGGAGGCAGTGGAGGAGGAGCCAGACAGGCGGGGTGTGGTGAAAAGCTCCACGTGGTCTGGCGTGTGCACTGTCATCCTGGTGGCCTGTGTCCTCGTCTTCCTCCTTGGAATTGTCCTCCACAACATGTCTTGCATCTCTAAGCGTTTCACTGTCATATCCTGTGGCTGAACCTGGGGGGCAGGGAAGGCTCTGGTGGGTGCCAACTTAGGGGTTGAGCAGGTGTTGGTGATGGGATGCTGGTGAGAAGATGGGGGGGGCGACAGTGACCATTTGGTGCCAAGCTCTGGCCTCTGGGTTGCCAGTTGGTTCACCTGAAGACAGACACAAAGGGTAGAAGGTGAGTTTCAGCGAGACTCCAGGTGGATTGTTCTGGGTTGATGGCCAGGGCTTTGAAGATGATTGCATGCTTCCTCATAAAGTAATTTATGATTTTTCAAGATCATGTTACAAGATAGACATATTCTACTTAGATGTTAAACTGTACACATTGCATACAACGATCTCTAGTAGGTGAAGACAAAGATGCTGTGTGTAGGAGTGGAATCAAACCTCAAATCCATGTAAAAACTCAGTGAAGACATACAGTGCTGGCTTCTATGCTTTTTTTTTTTTTCCCCTTCTTTTTCTTTTTTTAGTGAAACCCAGTCTTCATTTAGTTGCTAAGGCTTTTTATCATTTTGAATGACACCCAAATCAAAATAAGTGAAATGGACCATCTTTCTTTGGAGGAAATATGTGAACGAGTGTCTCCAGTGTGTTGTGTGTTGTCATGTACCTTCGTTATTTTTCTCACTTGTGATTAGAGCTTGCTATGTGTTTGTTGAGGTGAACACTAACTGGGGAGCAATAAACAGAAATAATGAGAGATATCCGATCCCACAGGAAACTTGGATGCCAGTATTTCTCAAGCCATCTCACGAAATAAGAATTTAAAATGTAAATATTGTGTATTGTGTGTGTATGTGTGTAATTTGATTTACCTCAGGTTTTTGAGTCTTTCCGGAAGAATCCTGGGAGTACGACTTTGTGGGCATGATGAGTTGATTATCTGAAACATTGCCACCTTGTGGGCACCTGGATCCCCCCATAAGACATCTTCTCCAGTCACCTCCAATACTCACTCACTCCTCCGCAAGTGTATTTGTGGGGCACAAGTGGAGAGTGTCAGAAGTCTTTTCTCCCAGTTTTGGGGTTTGTGAAAACCATGAACATCATCAACCAATGGCAAACCTGGCTGGGCATTTAATAGACAGACTGTGATTGTTTTTTGAAAGATGTTATTCCATGGGAGAGTCAAACCTTTTAGAATTCCAATGACATCTTGTTGATATAAGCAAGAAAATCTTTTGTACTTCAAAATAACGTTTTTATTGAGGAAAGTGGCAAGGTAAACGAACAGCTCCCATTCCCAATGTGAGTGGGCCAGTCCCTTGTGAATTCTCAACTGGTTTAAAATACGTAATGGTCCACAGAGGCTCATAAAGAAAGATCTGCTGGTTTTGAAGGATAAATTCTATCCCTGGGTGTGTGTACATTCAGAAATGGCTGTGAGTTTTTTGGTTGTGGATTTCAGGAAGTAAGTGGTATGTGTCTTGAACTCCACTCAAATATAAGTTTTTTAGGTTCTGTTGAATTCCTGGAAATGGTGGCATTGACTGGTTCCAAAAAGCAAAGCTAGAAAATAGCCCTGGAAGACCCAAACAATTTTGATTTCTTCATATGCTAACTAATATGCATACTAAAGTGATGGAATAAATGTGAAATAAATTGAAAAAATAATAACTAGACTAGAACACTAGCACTTAATTGACATGAGAGTCAATATAAAATTATAAACTCTGGTTTTTCAAATCTTTTGAAATTTGTTGTAAGACCTTTAGAAAATGTATTTCAAAGCTCAAACTAGACATTAGGCTAAAATGCCATTTTATTGTGTAAGCTATTGGGCATTATACAACAAATAATCTAGGATTTATTTGGTATTAATAATTTAGGTATCATATTAGCTGAATACTATCCTCTATTACGTAACGTAATATACAGTTGGGTTACTATCAATTTTGCAAACTCCCAGGCTACTGTAATGCATGTCTGACCTAATTTCTATTTCTCTTGGAGGGGAAAAGAAAATGCACAAAAACGTTGCATTTAAAATGCGACATTTCAAATAGCCTCTCCCCTTGCAACTTCAAGCCATGCCATATTCAAATTAATTTGGTGAGTGATATCTGCATACATTTCTGTACAGTATGAAACGACCGACCCTGTAGTGTAGTGTGTGATAGAGTTCTACTTGTTTAGTAGGTTCTATGTAGACACTAACGTGTGTGGTGATGCAGTGTCCCTGTGTTTCTCAATGCAAAGCTGTAAAGATGTCCACAGAACTTTCACTTTAAAATAGTCCCATGCTAGAGCTGCAATTAAGCAGTGCAAAATTCATCAGCTCTCTGATAGACCTTAAAACTTAACAATAACAACCCAGAACAGAATTTTTTTGTGTGTGTGCAAATGTTTGATATAAGGAATTGTTTAATTGTTTAAATTTAAATGGAATCGGTCTGCAGTTTGCAAACTTGCTTGTTGTGGGGGGCTGTGTGTGGGAGAGAGGGAGCAAGAGAGAGGAGAGGAGAGGAAGAGGACAGGTGAGATACAGAGGCAGAAAACTTTTTTATAGGTTTAATGATATCTAATTTTTTTTGGTATCCCATTGTTCTGGCCTCTTCAACAACCTATTTATTTCATGTGACAAAAGTCCAGTGAGACAAGTTTCCAGAATTTATAAAGTCTCAAGTGGAGAGCACAGAAAGTTAGAGTTAAAAGCAGCCTCTGGTGACTTCATTTTGTAGGTAAGAGCCCATGTGGGCCTGGAGGGGAATGTAACAACTTGTGATTCTGCAGTAAAAGGGGGAGGGGGGAGACCAGAGCTGTGTGTTTTTGTGCCTTCTTCCTCCTTCCTGGATCTGTTGCCATCCCTATCTGGCTGTGATTCTTTTCAGTGTTGATAAGTACCCTTTCCTGTTCAATTATTGCCTTAGAGTTGTTTTGTAGGTATATTTCTTAAATTTTAGTGAGGTACCTCTTTGGGAAATGAAAGGAGAGTTGTTTTAAGGATGGTATAGACGTTTATAAGAAACCTTCCAAACTATGTGATTTGAATTTTTTAAATTGCAAAACATTGGTCTGACTCCTCCCCTCCCGTATGTAAAGGATCACGAGTGTTGTGTACATAGTAACCTATAAGAAGCATGAATTTTCATCTTTATTAATGATCTTGACATAAGCAAGTGACTGCTTAATATGTTAAGTAGAATCAAGTTTGCCACCATACAGCATTGTCTTTGGAAAAATTTTGTATAATGACCCGGGGCATAAGTTGTAATGAAAAGATGAACTGGTTCTGAGTTCTAGTCATACTTTATGAACAGAAAGTTCTGACATATTTCTTTTTAAAATATAATTAAGTTTAATCTTGTGCATGACTTACAGAGTGGGTCCATTGGAGGTTCAACATGTACTGGTGCAACTCTTGGGATTTTCTTAGATGGATGCTGTTCATAGAACTTCTTTGGATGCTGGCAATGATCTATAACTTGTGTTGCCCAGGCGAGTAGCCACTATCCATGCTGGCTGTCAGATAATTAAACAGGGATATCTGAAGAACTGGTCTTTAAATTTTATTTAATTTTAAGTAATTTGAAGTTAAGTTGTCTCATGGTTAGTGGCTACCATATTAGCCAAAGGATGTTCCTAAAATAACATGACACTAAGGAGAGAGTGGGCTAGTAACATGGAGTTGACAGAAAGAAATCCCTTTCTGGACTTAAAAAGTGTGAGATCTCCAGTACCACAGTAAAAATTGACCTTTGAGGTTATTACTTAGATACTTTGGGGCCAAGGAATCTTGGTGAAGCTTAGAGTGATTTCCTAAGCCACCATTAGCTGCATGTGAATCTATTGTCCAAAAATAGTAGTTAGACAGTAGCTGTAAAACGTTCGATCTGCAAGCTATGCATGACCTGTGCTGTTAAATTGTGTTTAGCATCTTGTGGCCAAAAAAGTAAATGTTACAAGACAAAAAAAAAAAAAGCCTATGAAATCCCCCTTCACTTCCAATATCTTACCTAAACTTCATCTCTGCATTAGTAAAGTGTAGCTCTAAGAGCAAGCATGTTTTGCAGTGTTCAGAGTACTTTGTTTGTCCTTGAAGTCTGCCAGCTTGTCATTGTTATCGTGTAGGCATCATTTTTCAGATGCTAGCCTAAAATGTAGGTACTATTTTTAGAATGAGATTTGACATTCTTTTGGTCTCTTTTTAAAGTTTTAGTTATCACTAAAAGAAATGAGGTACTCTTTACATCTTTTTAATAATAAAAAAACATTGCCCAGTGGAATTTAAAGACTGGAAGGTTATTAAAGCTACTAAAAATACTTTTTAAGTGAGTAAAGAGAAGCAGGAAATTCAGTTTAAATCAATTTTCATAAAGATCAGACTTACTGGTAGTGTGGTATTTATTATTTTTCAGTCTAGATTGGATTTGAAGAGTTCTAATTTATTTATTTGAAAATCTGTGCTGTGTCAAAATTGGTTAGCGTGCTTTTCATTGTTTCCTAAGTGTAAGTCAATTCTATTTGCTTTAGTGTAGCAGAATTGGGTGTTTTGTTTTTTTAATTCTAGCTCTTGTCAATGGGCAAAACTGTACTTTTAGCTTATATTTAAATTTTATTTTTACCAAAATGTTTTCTTTTTTCTGTAGACTTAAGAAACTTAGAAGGCCAAAGGTTATGCTAGGAGAGGGATGATTGCCATAAGATTGCACTTTCTACCTTCCTTAGAATGATATCAACCAAGCAGCATTTTGTTTTTATACTGAAAGTGTTGGTCAGTCAATTGGTTATCCTTGACCTCAATGGAGAAACTCTCCCTTGACGTTTCCATCATTCCCAATAGAACATCACCCACAAGGTAACCCTTACCAAAACAAACTCCAGAGAAGAATGAGAGAGCCAAGCTAACTTAGTGACTGTTTTGCAAGTAATACTCTATTTCAAGAGCAATGACAATCAGTTAGTTGCTGGATTTTGTTTAACATGAAACACAAGACATTGGGGGTTTTTTTGTTTGTTTATTTTTGGATACAGTTGACTTGCTACATGCACATGTACACAGTGTAGCTGTAATTGGAGTTGACAATAAAGTGAAATGCTGTCAGTCTTATTTTTCAATTTGGGGACTATGCAATGTTGAATTTAGATGTTAATTACTTAACAGTTGCTATGAGCTCCCTATTATGTCAAATCAACTACTTTTGGTAGTAAGCTATGAAGGTAAGCTCTTTATACTTCTCAAATGTATGAAGAGGAGGATTCTGCTGTGTCCATTTTGTTGAAAAGCCATTCTGTCTTCTCAATAGCTTACTTTTTGGCTGTGTTCAAGGGGTCAAGGTCTAGCACCATTACTCCTGAGTTCCCCCAATGTGGCTCCCATTTTTCTGCACAAGTTTCCTTGCTCACTCTGGCCAGTAGTCTTGATTTTTTTTCTGGTTTCACTGCCTGGGGTATCCCACTGTGTATATCTCACTTATGATGTAGTGGTGCTTGAAAACACTCATTTCGTTAGCTGAATTTTATTCTAGTCTAAGTTTTTTAATACTACTTATATCATGATATTTTTAGGGACAAAAGGTAATTAGAGCAAAACACTGAGGGTGTCCTGAGATCACCAACATATGCATTTTCTGTTTTTGCAGAACAGATCTATCCCCATTTTCCCCAACACTGCTTTTAATCCTCACTAGGGTATAGGGCTAGTAGCCCATGGAAAGCTTCCTGAAATCTCCCTGAAGTGTGAGCTATTAGGACATTCTAACAAGAGTTTCCCAAGGGATGGTCAGTTTTTAATTTGACACTTGAGGGTGCAGAAGTGGGTAGTTGGATGTAATGGTGGTGAGGGAGTGTGGGCTGAAAGAAAAAGAGTGGCAGGTGCTGTCTTTCAGGGAATAGTCTGTGTTATCTCTTTCAATAGTGAGAGATGGCAGGAGCTGCTATCTTACACTGTTCTGGCTAGATTGGCTCACAGACAACCCAACTATTAAGTAGCCCCTCTATGGAAGAGATAGAGACAAAGCCTTGGGTCTCTGAACAGATAGGAGGATAATCTCAGAGAGGGAGAAAATAAATACTTAATGAACAAGGAATATGGGAGTATAGGTGGGAAACAAAATATAGGTACTAATGCAGTCACCACAGAAGCCAGCTGCAGAAAGCAGTACAGGACAACTGGATAGCTCAGTGAAACACATTCCAGCATGAACAACCAGATTCAGTTGAGCCTGCTTAAGTGAAAGACATAGAGAATGTACTCAGCTGATGAGGGGACCCAAGGAGACCCCATTTTTCCTGTCATGTTCTTGGGTTGTCATTGCATTTGACAATTTCAGAGCCTGGTTGGTGGGGAAATGAATACCTAATTCCATGGATCTTTCCTGACTATTCTTGGGTAAATTAGTTGAAGAATACTTTGGTTTCTATCCTGATGGTTGTCATTTATTACATTTATTTATTCCACCACTTGTTATGCTTGCCTCACTTGAGAGTTACAGGTATGGAAACTGGTTTCAGCTTGGCAGTCACAGACTCTCAATGGAAGCTGTGGAACTGCCAGGGTGTCTTCTCTTACAGCTCTGCGTTCCAGGCTCTGGCTAACATACTCTAGTCAAATGGTAAGATTAATACTGCTCAGAGGCCATTAACTCCAGTCCTTGACATGTTTCATTTACAATTATGTGGATTATTTATTTTTAGGAGCTTTTCTTTTAAAGGGGCAAATCACCCTACAGATAAATGAACTGCTGAGCTGTGTAGGAAAT